ACTCCAAGGAATATTCCTTAGAGAACATTCGCTCTGACGCATTCGATTGTGGGGAATACACAACTGTCCGAATATGACTGACCTTATAGTCCCGGATAACCTTCTGGAACAGGTCTGATTTAAACTGCCATTATCTGAAATAATTGTCTCCGGCACCCCATAAGTATGAAAGAGTTCCTGTCGCATATACTGTATTAACCACTTTGCTCAATAGCTTTTTGACTGCCTTTAGAATGATCCAAAGCTATGAAAATTCCAATATTTCCACCTCTTGAGCGGGGATATGGGTCTAAAAGTCCATATACAGCCTTTGGAAGAATCTTTCTGACTCCGCTGGAACCCCCATCGGTGCTCTCTTAACTGTATTAAGAGCCTTTGTCATTTTACAGATATCGCGAGCTAGAACATAGGATTTTACATCTTTTATTAATCCTGGCCAATAACAATGCCTCCGCCTCCGCTCCAATGTTTTGTGAATTCCCCCATGCAAAGCCAAAGGATGGTCGTGAGCCTAATCTAGAACCTCCTGGATCAAATCCTTCGTAATCCACAACTTCCAGATTGACCAGCGAACCACTGCTGACTCCCAATGCCTCAACCTCCTCATTTACTATAAATAGCGCATCCGGCACAACATTTAACTTGCCACTGCCCGATTTTACATCCGGCTGCGACATCACTTGTACACTTCCCTTCACAGTCGTGGTAGCGATGACCTTCTTGGCGGCAGTTCCAACAAAGTAAAGCTAGAGCCCCGATTTCCGATTCGCCTTCCGCTTCAGAAAACTCGGACGGATGCTCCTCCTACAATTCGCAAACCTGCTGTTTGTGACACCTCCAGTACACAGAATAAATTCCTCCAGTAAATCCAATCAATTCTACAGTTAAATGTCCTCAACCCAAAATCTTGGGTTGGATTTACTGTAAGCTGCAGTAAAAACGACATACCGCATTATGTTGTGTGACTGCTTTACAGTAAATCCAACCACTATTCTGCAGTAGAAATTCCTTAACCAACAAATTTTGGAAATTACAGTATTTAATAATTTAACTGTATAAAAATGCAGAATACTGCCCCCATTAGTATATAGGGGCAGTACTGATACTGTTCAATACTTTTAAATACTGTTGCAGTGTTAAAACTATTCAGACATTTATGGAAATATATTTTATGAATAAGTTTGTCATTCTTAATTTCAGAGTGATCTAGTTCTTCGCCTTAACCTTAACCTTAACCCTTTTTCAGATAGTAACCGATTATATATTTTTAATAAGCATTTAGTAGCAACTGATAGTGATAAATTTTTTCTGGAGTTGATGTACATTTTGATTTCTCTGTGGTAAGAGTCATATCGAAAGCACCAAAGATACTTCAAAGGACCGACTCTATAAATCTGGAGGAGTGAATTAAAAAGTGAAATTTTGTCTTTACAGTTGTTCCAAAAAGGTTAAAATTAAGTTTATGGAACTCATACCCACACCTTGTTCCATATCTTAATTGCTTTCGCGTAGGGGACACCTTAATGCGGATGCTTTTTTGGGACATGTCATTGCTCCCTTTAATAAGATTTTTGTTTAGGACTAAGAATTAATTTAATGAAAAATAAGATAGGTACTATTGATCGAAACCTAATCTTGATTTGGCTATTATGTCCCTCCCTTTACATATTTAATAAATAATAATGTAATAGATAATAAACGCGTTAAGTCTTAAAAAAGGACTTTAAATATAAAAATAAATAAAAGATTTAAAAGATTTTATGTTTTTTTTTTTAAATTCTTGGACGTTGATGCAATACGGTCAGTACATACAAGTTCCCCGTATGAAACCATGCACGTGCCTGTTGGGTTAAGTGTTAGTAGGCGCGCAAGGAATAATAGAAATGAGGACGAGGAAATTAACTACTGGCGTGCTGCCAAATTGCTTGCCTGCCTGTCAATAAAGTGGGTTAGAATTAAAGCTTTTAGTTTTGGAAGGCTATCTACGATTGAGATTAATGTGTACAAATCATTATAATTTGCACACAATACTCTAAAAGGTTCATGCAATTCGAAAGAGGTTCTACAGTGGTGCAATACTAAAGGAATATAGGATCTAGTATTTCTACTTGGTACATGGAAATTGAGCTGACTCAACAAGTCAGCACATTCCACGTCACCATGAATGAGCTTATAGATGAAGGTAATGCCAAGCATAGTTCTACGGTTGGCTAAGGAGGGTACGTTAAGGAAGAGTTTATTAGTGTAAGATGGTAACGTTTGCTTTAGATCCCAATTTAAACCGCGTAGAGCGAAAAGTAAATGGTCATTTTGAACCGACACGATGCGTTTACTATGGACGCCCTACTGATATTTTTATCGCTGATGAGGGTCATTTAATAGATAAATTAGGGTTATCTGACACCAGTCACCCCCTTAAAAGGGTAGGATCACAAAAAATTAATTATTTTACGGCGAAGCGCTACCGCCACGAAGAGGCAGTCGATACGGCTACGAGCGTGAATGCGACGGAGCGATATCGAAACGCGTTCGATCAGAGCTCAATGACAAAATAAGGGATGGAGGGTTAAAAGGTTCAATACCAGCTGAGCACTCACGCTTATTCAAGAATAAAAGAAAATGGCAATCACGCCCGATCATCGCCAAAGAGGGATGGATGGTAAAAAGGTCACATACCACCTATGCACACCTGTAGTCACCTGTTATCGGTCAACGCAATGAAAAAGGGGAGGGATGAAAAGGTCACAGTCAGCCAAGATTTTAGTCTCTATGATAAGAGTCACTCGTGTGGGCACAAAGGAAATTCTTGTGTGTACCCGAAAGGTGACGCTCACCAACGATCCTTCAATTAGAAAAAGGGAGGTAGCAACTTTTATACCCGTCACCAATCATAACACTACCAATGAAGGGAAAAGGCATTAAGCCTTTGTTTATTTATGAAGACATCTAATTGATACATTCATACATTCCCCAGAACACTGACCCAAGAATGGGAAGCCACACACACAAAAATGATCTTTTATACTTTTGCCCAAACAAATCTTGAAAAATCATGGTCACAATTTAGTTGCTCCCTTGACTCTCACATAAGGTGTGGGGTGATCTCTAAAAGGGATCACCCATATACCCACCACCCAAGATAAAAATGTCTTTTTCGTTTCCGTCTACGTTGGAAGCATAAAACGGGTGGCACACAAAGTACTAAAATTAATAAATTTTTTAGCTGTAAGTTTTGTATGTTGTGTAAAAAGTTAATTGACAGTGTCAAAAATATGAAAAGTTATTTTATGTTAATTTTTTGTTAAATCTTAAATTGTTTTGTTTATGTTTTTGAATATTATCATTAAGAATTATCCAATAAATAGATATCCATTGAAAAAAAAATTAAAAAACCTTACTAAAACGTTATATTTGCAAACAAAGTCAAAAATTATTTTAAATTTTCAGTGTGTAAACAGTTTCTTGACATACTGTACATTTCGAGGTGCAGCTCATAAAAGTGTAAATCCTCAAATTCAAAACAAAAAATATCATCCCCGTCTTCTGCCACAATTTCTCTGATGCCCATTTATTTGTGAAAGAGCTCGGGGAAACAGAGGGCGAAATTAGGGTAATTTTAATGAATAAGAACTCATATATTTCAATTTCTAAACACAATCCTGTAGGAGATAAAACCCTAGACCTCTAGTCTAGATACTCTTGCAAACAATTTAAACGATAAGCACTTGAAAATATGGAAAATAAAGTTCCTTCGATAGACATTAGTTTTTATTAAAATTTGTCTATAAATTTCCAATTCACTTGCATTATAATTTTGTGGAAGATGATGACATATTAAAGAATATAAATTATTTGTATATTGCCAGTTTTGTCCATCATCAAATTTAATTTTATTGTTTGAAACAAATTTATGACTACTCCCAAACATAATTTGACCATTTTGATTTTTTCTAGGACCATATGTCTTATCCAAAATACGTTCTCTTGCCAGTTCACTAATGTTGAAATACTCTCCTCATGTTTCGATGATTGTTCCAATATCGAAGGCGATGTGTGAATAAGGAGTGGATTTGTTGCCACAGGTGATGTAGCTGGTTGAGAATAGAATTGTCATCATCATCATAGTCATCAACTTAATCATTAATATTATCCTTCATCCCCCAATCATATGATTTAACTTCATTATCTTTATCATATATCATATTAAGCGATTGAGTTTAGGTTAATTGTATCATAAAATAAATTAATAATAATAAATAATTTATATGTGGTTTATCAAAGTCTGATGGTATATTTTTTTGTAACATGTGATGTAATTTTTTGTAATCAATAACAATTTCATGCAATGGTTCTGTTATACATAGGCTTAAATGTTTCTCTAAGTCCCATAATATTTCGGTTTTGGTGTTTTTTATTTTAGAGAATTTTTTTACAGCATTTCGACTTTTAGTCAATTGATTTAAAATATTTTCATTCATTGTGATAAATCTGATATTACTCCTTCGCATGTGAAAAATCTATTGAAAAAGAAATCTTGATGCAATTAATTATGTATCACAGAGCAGAAATCGAAATCATAACAGATATCTAATCAGATAATCAGACCTAATAGCTGAATAGCTGAGTTAAACAGACCTGATAACCTGTTCAGTTAAACAGACCTCATCAGGTGATTAGACCTGCTAGCTGACCAGGTAATTAAATATTTATTGTAAAAAATTAAAAATGTGAAGGAAAATATTTTCCCATTTTCCAATCCCAATTTTAAAAAATTTATATTTTTTAATTAATTAGATTAATTTTTGTTGTAATTTTTCATTTTTAATTTCTATTAAGCAGAAAGCAGAAAGAAAATATCTGAAAAGAATTCCAAATTCTCGATAAAAAATATTGTTTAAATTTTATTTTTAATATATATTTATTTATTTTTCACTTTTTGATAATAAGCTGAAATAAATTGGATAGTGGGGCGATCCTGCCCGCAAAGAGTCCTTATCGGAGGCCAAATCAGGGTTGAAAATCCAAAGGCAGGGGCGTCGTGGTATATATTTCAGCGTCAGCTTTTATACCCTGCTCACAAGAACCGAGCTCCCGGTCGCTTTGCATCGTTAAAGCGAGAGCAAGCCGGGAACAGAAAACTCGCTCCTGACCAGAGGCGGCACAGTGGGCCCCTCACGTAAACATCCTTCGCCCCTTGCAATCGCTCGTGTTGCAACAGTGCAGGCTCCAGACACGACCCAACCGAAGACGGTACTTTAGGCCACTGGCAGTCCATCCTGGATCTTCAGGAAGCCGGGCTGCATCACTCTCGAATACATATCCGCTCCTAGGACCACGGAGATGGTCGCCGGTAGATGTAAACGCTCGTCGGCCAGAGTGTTGTCGCGGAAGTGGGCCCGCACCGTCTCGCTTAGCTCCCGGATTGGAGTTCGGATCAGCGTGACCGCGCCGAACTAAACGAGAAATACTAATTTTGTCTCAAAAATATACTACAAAATACTATTTCATATTTTATAAAATACCACTATAAATACCATAACAAATAAATCGCCTAGAAATTCAAATTATAATATGTAATATGTAAATAAGGTTTTTCCCATTGCAAAAAATGTTTGTTTTTTATTTCATTTTACAAGATTAATAATATTTCAGTCCAGCATTAAACTAAAACAATATGCATTCGTATTCAATTCCATATTCCAATATATATTTAAGTCTTAAAATTAATTAAATACTTTAAATTCATTTTGTAACACTTTCTTAAAATAAAATAATAGAGAAACTTTTTTTGTCCAGTCATCGAGTAACATGTTCTTAAAATAAAATAATAAAGGAACTTTGTCGAGTCTTGTACGTTTCTTTTAAGATCAGAATATTACTTTTCATTAAATTGACTAGTCTTCTTCGTCAGAGCTGCTTAAATTTAATTTGTTGAGATCTTTGCACAACATTTGTTGTTCATCAATGATTATGGAGAACACAGGCCTTCCCGCTGCAGAAACGCACCGTTTCATGCTAGAGATCAGTTGCGCCTTCATCACAGGTGCCAGTACATTGTACCTTTGATTTTCAACAGAAGTAGTTCATGTTGTCTTTATGTTTTTGGGTAGCCGCGTGCTGCGTAAGTGACGCCAGCCTACTTAACATGTCCGTCTGGCTTTGCACCGCGCATCCATCATATTTGCGCTCCATTGCCCAGCCATTTTTGGTTCTCCGGCATAGTCTCCCACTGAGCTCTATATTTTTTTTTATTACTCATGATTAATTAAGACTTGTTTGGATTCAAGAAAAAGAGAGAGGTTGACCAAACCGAAAATACCATGTAATACCATAAAATCTAAGAAAAATGCCTATATAACATTAAAATACTTTTGGGCAAAATCCGAGCTGATAAAATACCAAAAAGTATTTAAAATACCATATTCGGTCACGCTGATATCTACCCTACTTCTGCAAATAGGTACATCGTTTTCGCTGTGAAGCATGGACAGTTGACTTCTTAATAAAGAAATTATACCTTTAAGTCCTATTCACCTCACAAAAGCAATGCCGTTCGCCCAAAAGGAAAAACTGGAGTCCGCAGTTCAGATAATTTATCCGTGGCCAAGTGTCGAGCTAACAATAACCCTGGCGCCTGTCAATCCAATGCGTATAACTAAATAAATGAGAAAGATTGCTTCCGGAAAAGTCATAAGGCTTTAAATCCAATTTATGTGATACCGTAAATTAAATAAGACCGAGAGACTGATTCGAGCTGAGTGTCACGGCAACCGATGGCTGAAGAGTAAACACAATTCTTTACCCACCGTTATACTACCGCCCTTTAAAAATTAAAGGAAAAGATAAATAGAAGTGTTTCCTGCATGTGTTAATGTTTTGGTGTGAATATTTTTTCACCAATGTAAACGATTAGTGACCCAAGGTTGGGCGCCAGATTATTTATAATGATAATAATTATTACTGTAACGAATTAACAGGCCCGGGTGGTAGGTAAAAGTACGAAAGACGCACGCAAAAAGGTCCATCTGCTCTTAGTCGGTTTCGTGAGGCGGTGTTCTTGTCCATATACTTTTGCTTTTCATCATCCTTTAAACTATCAAAAACTGTGTACTACGACAATAAATATGTTTGGCGGCAAAAAAAAGTTTCACACAAAACAGAAAAACTGGGGAGACACTCCTTTCCGAACTTCCTAATGATTCTTAGATGACATAAAGATCAGATTTGCATGCCCTTCCTTGGACGTCCTTATCTATAATTAAGGTGCTCATATTTTTTTTGACGTCCCCTTTTTGTGTTGCTAATAAATAATATTCCTTGTGGGAGATAGAGAGAGAAAGCGATAGGCCGAGCATAAGATAATCAGGGTCGGCAGTTATAATCTTATATTCGTCGGACGTGCATAAGTAAATCGGCTTTGGGAGTTGGACGTAAAAAGAGGAGATGAAATCCCAAAGAAATGGATCCGAAGTGATTGAGAGGCAGCGCCGGGAATATTTTGATAGTTTTAAATATTAGTTATAGCCTAAGCGCGATCTATAGGGAAGCCCGAAAGCGGGGAGAAACGCTTGAGGAAAAGCGGAGAAGCAGGGCAAAACTGAAGAAGTTAGTGGATAAGGTAGAAGAAAGAGAACCGTAAGCTTTGTTCGAGTTCGGTCGTTCCGTTTTTGTTTTACCGAGGGTGAAGGGGTTCGCGAAAGAAAAAGTAGCAAAAATATTGCGGCATAGTGGGCCTAAATATTTATAAATATTTCCTACTGTCCGCCGTGGATGAAAAAAGTAAATAGCTCTAGAGCATTGCTAACAGGAAGTAGAGAAACGTAAAGTTAAGTTCAAGGCTAAACGCCGGCATTGAAGTCTAATCTTTTTTTGTAACAATTTGCCTACCTTCTGGCACTACCAAAACGTTCTGCCTTGTTCATCGGTTTACATTTTTTTCTTGTTTAAATCGGAGCAAATACGAATGCCTAAGATCGAATTTTCTTTGAAATATTGAATTTTAATTACGTCATGTATCTGAAAGTAGCTGTTTAAGGCATGAATATTGTCGCATATGTTTTCATTATTGTTATTTTTCCTTATTTGTCTGCATGGAATTTTATTACAATACGAATGCCTATCTTAAGCTAATTTGGTAAAAGCAATGTTATTTAGACTTATAAGAATAAAAAATTATAATGTGGTGAAAACACTTGTTTGCTTATGGATAATCCCCTCGCTAACCAATTATTAGCAACCCAAAAAGGGGCCGCCCGTTCTTTCTATATTGTGTGCAACTTTTCTCTACCCAGAACATATTTATTGTCGTAGCACGCATTTCATTTGATAATTAGAAAATGATGAAAGGCCAAAGTATATGGACAAGAACACCACCCCACAAAACCGACAAGAGCAGCTGGACTTTCACCTTTCACTTCACTTTCACCTACCACCCGGGCCTGGTAATTCGTTACAATGTGGGATTCTATGACTCCCAATATCCAATGAGTGCACCATGATGAAGTTGGAAAATCATTTAAATGACGTTTCTATTAGATGCAGCCTCGTAATTGAACGGAACCAGTGCTCATTAGCACCTGTAAGGCCGTAGAAAGGTAAACTTCCGGCACGCCCCGAAAGCAATAGAGTCCGTTTTGGCAATCAAGCACCTTGCAATCTTGATCGACCATAGGTTAACCTAAAAGAGCCATTAATATGTATTCTTTTGGGAACGCTGGGGAATTAAGAGAAGGAGAAGCTAATCAAAATATTTTTCGTTAGTATATGTCTTTTAGGTATTTTAGGTATTTAGGTATGCTCCACCGAAACAAGAAAATATCAGATCTTGTAGCATAGCCAACACTTGAGACTCGAAGCGTGGTAATGAGCGACCACTTGAGCGCTACCTGAGCGCTACTTGGGCGATTTATTCTGTTGAGGAATACAAACTTTGATTTAACCTCAACCTATTTCTTATACATACAGCAGTATCTCCTCCCTTCTCTGCTGGGATCGCCGATCGGAATAACCGTGGCGCCAAACTTAACTTAACTTTGCCATAAACAGTCTGGCCTATTACAAACATGGTTTGAATCACAAATACACACTTAACAAAAGTGCACCCTAGTGGCGCGTAATTCAAACCGATTGACAATCGATATTCTAACAAGCTTATCCGTTCCGCGACATCTCCGCCCCCGTGAAGCAGTCGCATTCACCACATTCAGAACAGCTAGCTTCGAAGCGGGACGAATCATCCTAGCTCGATCGTCAGTCCGTACCGCCGCTCGCCTGGGCACTCCATCTACTCCAGTGAACACCTCCTCCACGATTCCTTGTTTCCACTCTCGACGTGGTATGGCCGGATCGCAGATGAACACTAAGTCTCCTCGGCGCAGGGGCTCGACATGTGAGCACCATTTCTCTGATGACCTCGTGTAGCTCTCGTCTGTGGTTGCTTCGTAGCTCCCTCCTGTGGCCACCGTCTATCTGTTGTGACCATCTGGGGCCATCGGCCTCGTCATGCAGCAAGTAGTGATGCTTCCTCTGGCACCGTAGACGTTGCACTTACGGCTCCTCTTGCAGAACCGTACCATGTGCCCGCTTGTAAGGCTTCTTGACGAACTCCAACCGCGTCCTGACAGGGGCGTTGTTGAACTCTTTGCAATCCTTGATGGCGTGTTGCCCTTTACACATGGGCAACCTCTGGGGTGGTCATTATACCCCTTCTGTTCCATGTCTTCCTGATGCTCACCTTGCATCGGAGGCTACAGATTCGCGTTTCCATGTAACACGCTTCGCTTTGGGACTTTACAGCTCACTTCCGTAATGGTGCATACCAGCTTTGCGAGCTCGTTTAGCCATTCGCTTAGGTGCACTATCGTCGGATATGGCTCCATCGTGACCGCGTACCTGGCCCAGTCCAACCTCTTACTTAGGGGCAATTTGCCGATCAGCTCCTCCATCAGGGTGGGATTTCCTATATGCTGGTCGCCGCTGTCGGTTGACTGCAGAAACGCAAGATTGCTCACACTCGTGGCGAACGATACAATCCTGCCTATGTTGTGCTCCTGAATTGGCTGTAGCTCCCGCACGCTCTTCAGTTGGCTCCGGATCAATTGCTCCGGGCGCCCATAGCGAAAGCGAAGCTGTTCCATTACGGCCTGTACGTTGTTGGGATGAATAAGCAGTGATTTGACTGCCGTCCTCGCTTCACCCTTCAGTGCCTTCACTAGCCTTTAGTTTTTTTCCAATGCTGTACAATGATACGCCGCCATCGTCTCCATGAACGCCCACTGGAATATTGGCCACTCCTCTGGCTGACCTTCGAACTCTGGAAGATCAGGCAATCTGCGTGCACCGTGGCTGTCACACAACATGGCGGCGAGTAGCATACAGTTGTACAGCCTGCCCGTGTGACTTTTTGCCCTATTGCCACATTACCGCTCAAATATGGCGGCAAGCTTCCACTCAA